TGGAGGGCAGTGTCACTGGCCCTCATATGTGGGATCCGAACCGGGGCCCTCTGGCGTCCCAAGCCAGTTCTTAACCATCGCGCCACTCGGCCGGCCCATTACTTAGTTTCTTGATGCTTCAGATTCCTTATCTGTAATACGAGGATGAGAATGATTATCTGTATCTATTTCATAGAGTTATTGTGAGGAATAAAGGAGTTGTGAGTACATGTAATGCACTTAGAACAGGGCCAGACACGTATTCATTGCCCAGTAAAGCTGGTGCTTTCACTGTAATATTTCTCACCCATTCTATATGAAATACTATGATGAATTTCTGTTACTTTTTGCTCTGAGAACATGGAAAAGGAAGTATGATTTTTTATGTAGATTTTTTTAAAAAAAGAAATAAGCTGAATGATAAAACAGCAATCTTGAAAATTTTTGACATGCATCAAGGAAAGTTTAGAAGAATAGATAGCAGAGTGTCAAGTGGTCATCTTCGAGTGGTTGGGATGCTGGATGTTCTGTACTACTTCCTTCTGTTTACCTGTAGTTTCTGAAACTTCTGTAAGGACATGTGCATTGTTTTTGTAATTATAATTTTTAAAAAGTTATTTCCAAAAGTAAATAGGGGTTCAGTAACAGAATACTTAAAATAATCACAAGAGAAACTTTAAACCTTAATATAAAAGTTTATATTAAGGGGCCGGCCGAGTGGCTTAGTTGGTTAAGAGCTCGCTCAAGAGTTTGAGCTCTGAGCAACAGCGGCTCGATGCCCGGCCTGAGCTGAGCAGCCAACAGATGGCAGGATGGCTCAGCTAAAAAAAAAAAAAAAGTTTATATTACGTTTTCTGTTGATTTTCTTAGTCTGATCTGGTCTTCTAGTTATATTGACTTAATCTTGATTCTTTACTTACAACAGTTGTCAATTCTTGGTTATAATAAAAGTAAAACAATAAAATTTCATCGATTTTATGAAATATTTGAAATAACACAAGACATTGTGTTATGCCTTGGAAAAAGTATCTAATTTTACAATAAATTCTGAAAATTCTCTCTGTAGGTTGGAGTTATAGATTTTTCAATGTATCTGAAGGATGGAAACAGCAGTAAAGGTAGTGAAGGGTATGTACAAAGAAAATAAGGTTTATTTTCCTTTAATTTTTCTTGATAGTGTTTAAAATTTACAATACTGCTTTTTGACAGACTTGCTGAAAGAATTTTTGATAATACAGTTTTAACAGAGTCTTGCCAAAACTGTCTGACTATTGTGCCAGCTAAATCCTAAAGGGGTTTTAGTTAAAGTGATTCTCCTGCTTATGTGGTTCAGGGGCAAACAAAATTAAAATATTTATAACAGGAACCCAAAGCTCCATCTCTTCAAGTAATGTTTGAAAACATGATCATCTTGACGAGAACAATTGCATTCTCGGTTTGTGTGAATTTGCATCATGGGGTTATGTAAAATGTTGATATTAAGGGGAGTATATGGAAACTCTGCACTACTTTTAGAACTCTTTTAAATCTACAATTATTTCAAAATAAAAAGTCTTTAAAATATTTATGTAGTACTTAGAAATTAGAGATCAAAAGCACACTTTATACCCCTTATAAATTTAGCAGCTAAAAGCATAATTATTCTGAAGTTTTTAACCTTGGACATTGAGCTAAGGTTATAGCATAGCGCTTGTTCTTGAAGTACTTGTAAAGTCGTGTGGCCTTGATTTGTCTTCAATTGAAAAGTCTGTTTAACTGTAGTCTACCATAGATTAGTTAGTTCTAGAAGTGAACTTCCCTTTTCCATACTTTTTCTCATGTAATAATAAACACTTGAATTTTTTTTTTAGTTTCAGGTGTACAAAACAACATAATGATTAGACACTTACACGCCTCACAAAATGACAACCCCACCAAGTCTACTATCCATCTAACATGTACATAGCTATTATAATACCATTAACTGTATTCCCTATTCTGTACATTACATCCCCTGGCTATATATACAGAGGGTGCCAAAAAAAATACATACACATTTTAAGAAAGGAAAAAACTGTATTAAAATTGTAATACAATGACTGATGCTACTAGCATTCATTTAATTAACACCATCTTTTGAGTGAATGTCATACAACACATTGCTACCGTAATTCAATTCAACTTCAAAAAGTAATACAGTAATACCTTGGTTTGCGAGCATAATTCGTTCTGGAAACAAACTCGTATTGCAAGGCATTGCTCATTTACCACTGTAAAATGTATTAGAAATGTTTGCTTGTCTTGCAGAACACTGCAAGTTACTCGCAATCCAAGGTTTTACTGTACATAAATAACATCTCTTAAAATATGTACATTTTGTGGCACCCCCAGTATATATATATTTTTTAATTATAGTTGACCTTCAATATTATTTTATGTTACCATATTTTGCCATTTATAATGTGCACTTTTGAACCCAAATCTGTGAGGGAAAAAGTAGGATGCACATTATACATGGGTAGTATTAATTTCGTTTCCCTGAAGGTGTGGGCCAAAAACATGGGTGCGCATTATAGAGGCAAAATATGGTAATTTCAGGTGTACAGCCCAGTGGTTAGGTGGTTACATATTTACATAATTTATGAAGTGATCCCCTCGATAAATCTAGTACCCATCTGATACTTAGAGTTTTTACAACATTATTGACTATATTCTCCATGCTTCATTTCACATCCCCATGACTATTTTGCGACTACCAATTTGTACTTCATAATCCCTTCACCTTTCCCAGCCATTCCCCTAAACCCCCTCCCATTCTTGCAACCATCAGTTTGTTCTCTGTATATATGAGTCTGTTTCTATTTTGTTCGTTTATTTATTCTGTTTTTTAGATTCCACATATAAGTGAGATCATATGGTATTTGTCTTTCTTAGTCTAACGTACTTCACTTAGCATAATATCCTCTAGGTCCATTCATGTTGTCGCAAATGGTAAGATTCCATTCTTTTTTATGGCAGAGTAATGCTCCATTCTTTAAATGTACCAGAATTTCTTTATCCAATCATCTATCAGTAGGCATTTTTGTTGTTTCTTTATCTTGGCTATTGTGAATAGCACTGCACTAAACCCTGGGGTACAATAAACACTGGATCTTTATGAAGTCTTATACCATTCTCTCTGAAATCCAAATGATATGCAAAGGCAAATATATAGCCTTGGAGAACAACTATTATTACACCAGAACACACTTAATTTAATACCCGCGACAAATGGGAAATTGTTATTATAAATAATACTAGCATAGCTACAAAATCTATCAATTGTGAGAAGAAAATGTTTAGTCTTTAAATGCCTCTGATAGATTGTAATGTTATGCCTATAACCTAAGTTAATGAGGTGTATAAGCTGTAAGAAGGGCTTTTTTAATATGGGTTTTTTTTTTGGTTTGTTGTTTTGTTTTCATTTTTAAACTTCATGTCTTTCTTGTTGATATGTTAAGGGGGTTATACATCAGGGGTGTCTTCTGATTCAGTGTATCTATACCATGATTTCTTTTCTATGTTATAAAAAGATTAGGGGGTGGGAAATCTTGATATTTCTAATGTTACTTATTTTATTTCAATTTTCTCTCCCTGCCCCGCCCCCAGAGACGGCCAGATTACTGCAATTCTGGACCAGAAAAACTATGTGGAAGAACTCAACAGACATCTGAAGTAAAGAATAAATAAACATTATTACTTTACTGGGGGTTTTGTTGTAGCGGGGGGAAGAGTAAACTGATGAGCAGTGAAGATAAATTCAGATAATACTCAACAAATTATGTAAAATTCCTGCTTGCCAGGCACCAAGTTAGGCACTGGTAAAATGGCATTTAACAGTTCTGGTGACCTTTAGTGAAAGGCAGTATAAGACTAGTCTTTAATTATACCTCTAGTGATTAAAAAAATACATGCAGTTAAGAATTCTTAAATATGTGACATACAGTAAGTCCTCACTTAATGTCCTCAATAGGTTCTGTGACTTTAAGCAAAAT